TCGTTTGTCGATTATTCAGACTTATGTAATTTGTTATGATGAACAAATATTTATGTGTTTATGTTTACTTTAACTTTTGGTTAATTAATGTTTTTATTGTTTTTACCTGTTACCTATAGCAACAGGTTAATCAAGATTTTAACTAATAGTTTTATTGGCATTTCTTAAGAACAGGTACCTAAATATAATTATCGTGATAAGTTTGTGTGGGTACCCAAATGAGAACATTTTTAAAATAATTATTATTTTGGGTCTTAACTACGGTTTCGCGAAAGGATCGAACGGTCGATTTGCAAGGGTTCACGAAATCGATTGAAACTTTTTTACCTTATTTCTACATCTTAATGCAGTACTTTTTTCAAAAAAAAAATCTCGTCCATTGACAACTTTGTTTTTATTTTAATTTTTTTCTTCGCTGTGTTAAAAATGAAGAAATTTCATTTTTTTTAAATAACTTTTTTATTTCAAAACGTATCGATTTGAAATTTGGACAAAATGTAGATCTTACTAATGACAATTAATCCATGAAAAAATTTTGTTTAGATTATAACGTACAGGGGGCGCTGGTGATAATTTAGTTTAAAATTTAATAATTTTTAAAGGGTAAATAATCGAAGAAGCAACTTTGTTTTATAAATTTGAGTATAGCACGTGAAAGTATTGATATTTGACTATTATTTGATATATTAACTTTTTTATGCAAATGATGTTTCTGTGGCCAGGATCAGTTTTGAATTAGCAGTAGCAGTATTCATAAATGCTTAGTTTAGTACATTTTGTCATTTTTATACAAATATTGTTCTTTTATTAATAATTACGTAAAGCATAACACATAAATGACGTTTAATATACAGGGTGTTTCACGTACTTAGTCCGTTGGAAGTTTCTAGGGAATCGCGAAAGACATCGATTTAAAATTTTAATAGCGTAAAGTATTCGCTTTAGACTCTTTTCCTAAATTATTTTAAACAAAATAATACTTCCTGTTTTACCGGAATACCTCATATATTTTTACATTATTTAATTCTACATAAAATGGCTATACCATATCCTATACCTAAAGTCAATATTTTTTGAGTTATTATTTTTTCAATCAAATATTTTAATTAATTTTAAACAATGACAGATTTGGTGGTAACCATGGATTACATTACATTAAACCACATGTAGAATTTTAGAGGTTTGTTGATACAAAATAGTATTGAAAATATTAGAAATTGTTAAATGTCTCTGAAATTTTAACTTTAGGAAAGAGTTACTATAATACCAATTGAAAGATTCTTTAATGTTATATTTGATTATGTTTAAGCATACAGGGTTTTACATTTATAATAAAAACGTTGTTATTGTTTAAAGTTTGCCTAATTTCAAGTGGTTTTTCTCAAGGTATTTGTTGAAAAACCTTTAAAAAACTAAACAATGTTTTAATATTCCAAAAATTCCAACCGCATGTCAACAAACATAATAACAAACAAATTAGAGGCTATTTTGATTAACGTGCATTTTAACGAAAAAAAATAATATCTTGAAAACTATTGACTTTATGTCTAAATCAAATTGTATATTCTATTAAAATTTCAAATCCATACCGTTTGCGTTTCTCCAGAAACACCCTGTATAGCATTATATTAAATATAAAAAATGCAAAATAACTAATTACAAAAAATCGAAAAACAAATGAATAAAAATATAGGTATATCTAAATAGCCGATTGCAACATAAAAAGTCTTTATTCTAATTTATTTATTGGGTAAATATTACTTTCCTCAGTTAGGAATTAAAATTGAAGCTTGTTTATCGAGTAAAACATAAATTGAAGCTTGGTTGTGGAGCAAAAAATAAAATTAAAGTAGGTTATAATTTCTAACTTGCTGATACTGTCTATAATTATTATTTAGTGTATTAATTTTAATAAATTAATATTTTAAGTTTATAGTATACTTATAAATTGAAACGCAATCAGTCATTTGCAACTTATAAACTGAACTGTTAAATTATCTTTCATGCTTCCAATGGTAGGTTACCATAGAGATAAGTCTGTGATGCCTACTATGATCAAAATTAGTAAACTTAAAAAAATTTAAAATTTATATATAAAACTAATTTTAGCTCCATCTATGGCGATTTTTTTAAATAAATATGTAAGAATTGTATGTTATATATAAAATATTGTATGTAATATATAATACATTATCTTATAAAACTAGTTAAAAGAATTTATAATTTGTAAAACACGTTAGTATTACGCTCTTTGAAGACTTAACTTAAAAATGGTGTCTCTCGTAGAAACATAATTTGCATTTAGAAGGTTATATATCAAATAATAGTTAATTATCAGTACTTTAACGTGATATACTCAAAATTATAAAACAACGTTGCTTCTTCGACTTTTTAACCCTTAAAAAATGGTAAAATTTTAAATTAAATTGTCCACCGTGCCCCCTGTATATTAAAATCTAAATAAATAATACGTGGATTTATTGCCACTAATAAGGTCTACATTTTATCTTAATTTCAAATCGATACGTTTTTAAATAAAAATGTTATTACAAAATATCGAAATTTATCTATTTTTAACACAGTAGAGTGACTTAAGGCCTGAAAACCACAGGGGTCAATGGATGAAATTTTTTTTTTGAAAAAAAAGTACCATTTAGATGTACAAACAAGGTAACAAAAATATATTTAATTCTGGCATCACTTGCAAACAAATGTCCAAAATTTGTTCGATTTTTACGCGAAACCATAGTTAAGAGAAGATTTTTTGTACATAGTGTCCCGAAAATGGCGCACTAGCGGTTAGATTAATGGCATACATAATTTTTCAAAATAAAAAGCCCAAAGGCATTAATATTTAATCGACTGCTTATTTATGACATTTTTATATAAGGGACACGAATATTTTTATATAAGGGACACGAATATTTTTATATAAGGAACACGAATTTGCTATAAAACAAATTATTGTTTTATCAGTGGCGCAGCTACAGCATTTTTCGCCCGGGGCAAAGAATATCATAAAATTAATTTGATTGACACTCGAAAATGCAAATTCGTTATAAAAAATAGGATTTTTATAACTTGTCCGTTACGTTATTACTGTGAAGAATGTGAATCGTAGACAAGGGATAGGTTGGGTGCGGGAAGAGTGTAGATTTTGTTGATGTGAATCAAATCAACTGTTGAACCAGTGGCGTACCGTCTAATTTTATTTAAGGATAAATGTAAATTATGGGTATGCAACCCAGATATTGGGTTAAGTACTTTGGTTGCGACTCGCAACTTGCGAGGAAAAATATGATTTTCAAAATTTATATTAATATACAAGTTATCTATGTAACTGCTTTCAAGAAATTAAAGGACCTCCATTGTTCTCGGAATTAAAATGGCGTAATAATATTAAGTAACATGTTGAAAACACCAAAAACAAAAGAAACACTGAAACTGAACCGTTTTAAGCACTGTTAACATTCAAATCGTAAAATACACGGAAAAATGCTATAGACAGTTATCGCTGTCGAACCCATTTTTATAACCCCTTATAAAGATTGGTTATAAAATATAAATGTGTCGCTTTATTAGTAAACATATGTCCATATCGCTACATTAAAGCATGCCTGCGCTCCTCCCGCTTGAAAGTACAATAGACCGTACCTTGATGACGTAACGGAAAAGTTATAAAAATCCTATAGGATATAGTCAGCATTTATGAAATTCACGAACGAATAACGAAATTTTACAAAATCATCAAACGTGACGATTTCTCTTTAGGTTTTCATTATCCACTTTCTTGAATGAAAAATTTCACTGACCTATGAGTTGGTGACTAAAAAATGAAATAAGAAAAAATTGCCTATTTTTTGTATGAAATTGCTACAAAAAGATGTTTTATCCAAAATCGGCAGTAAAGTAAAAGAAATCGGCAGTAAAGTAGAACTTTACTGCCGATTTAATACGAGTATTGTATGCAACCCATTATACATTTTAAGATGTGTCTACTGCTCCTCAGCAGCAACTAAATAATATTTAAAAAAAGCACCGCCGCGGATGTTGATTGGACCCTTTCATAAAATGTTGTTTAATAAAAATAATAAGTTAATTTTAATATATAATAACCGTCGAAACAAACAGTATACGTAGACACTTATTAATTATTAGTATTATTAAATGTGATTTCGGATAAAATTTAATATGCACCTTCACAGTCATTTTTTATCACTCACGTGGCTTTCACCTCCGGAAATAATTTCCACATTCTTGATAAAATATACGACTTTACTGCCTTTATAAGTAAATAACTATTTTTACAACCGAGCGAAAAGTAGGTACAAATTTGCGCTTCCAAAAAAGCGCAAAGTTACACTTTTCCGAGGAGCAAGCGTTTCTTTACTTTGTCGCTCGCCGAAACTATAATAACGAAACGTCTAGTATACACGCGACTTTTGACACAAAAGTCAAATTTGAGGTTATCAATAATTACTAATTATTACCAATCATTTTTATAAAAACACCGGTTGTAGAAAAATATTGTGTGTTTCGAGCGCAAAGCCGCAAAGTTACATTTCCGCTCTCGCGAGATAGCCGCGCTCCGCTACGCGTCGCGCGTCAAACTTTTTGCTCAGAGCGACAATATATCACTTTGCAAACAAATAGACATTTAATCGAAAAGACCGCCGAAAAATTATCCTTTCCAAGCAAATAAATAGGTACCTAAACTCTTTTGCCTACTAGAAAGAATGAGGATCGGAATTCACTTTAATTAGTTAATAATTTTCGGAAAATACCGATTAATTTCAAAATCATCGAAAATATTGGAAAATATTATCGGAACTTTGGAAAGAACTTTGGAAAATGCCGACTTGTTGTGAGCCTTCTCACTACGCACCTGGTACTATTAATTTTAAAGGACCATTAAGAAAATATTTACGATTTTTAACATATATAAATAGCATTGATATTTATATATTTACTGTATATACTACTACAGGTACAAAGGTACAATGTGGCAACTAAAATTGTGCATTTATCTGTGTTTAACATTGTTTGGTTCATCTTGTTATGGTAGGTAAGCATAAAAAACATCTACTTGTAATACAAATTTTGCTGACTTTAGGGTCTGGAGGATTCCACGTCCAAACAAGTAAGCTTTTTATAATTTTTACCGATTAATTATGGGGTAGTAATGGAAAAAAAATAAATAGTGAATTCCCTATTGCCAAGTTACAGGGTGTTTTTCTTCTTCTGCGACGAAAAAACCTCTATAGTTACCCGCAGGTTATCGGGTTACTGGATTTAATGACTCTTTTTGCGGCAATTTTCTTGATTTTATTAATTCATTTTTTGTTTTGTCTTCCTCTTTTTCTTTTGCCAATCTTTCCAGATTTTATCATTTTTCTACTAGTGCATTTTGTTCTTCGCCTAATGATGTCTTATATTTACGTATCGTATCCCATTTTGTTTTTCCCGCTATTTTCCTTAAATGTTTCATTTTTAGTGCAGTTATTTTACTTTCATTATTTTTGTTTAAGTATTGCTAATAGCAATTTGCTATCGTATTAAACGTTCTTATGTTAGCCTCTTTGCTTATTTATTTCTTTCCTAATATTGATTTTTACGGCACAGTACAATTTAGTACTTTTATTTGCTCTATAAAGCTCTATTGTAGCTGTCCCCATCCATTTCTCCATACGTGTTCTAAATCTTGTTCGTTGATGTCTTTTGGCCTTTTTTCTTGTGGTCCTCTATTATTGATGATCATTGATTTAGATGTTTCTACATTTATATCGATCAGCATTTTTCTTTCCAGATTTTTGTTCTCTTTTAACTGGTCTTAATCTGTGTTTTTATCCGTAAGTTTTTTAGACCATTCCCTTATTTGACTTCCACTTTCATGTCGAATGCATTCGTTTAATTTTACTATTCCATATTTGAATAATCTACGTAGGTACTTTTACTTTCTTTAAAGATTTCCAAATTATATTTTTTTTAGTTTGTCAAAATCAGCTCTCAAATTTAAAAAGTATAAAATAATTCCTCTCCATTTTTCATTTCCCGCTTAATTATATTAATATCTTTATATATGTACATTGTTTCTCTATTCTATATGCTGCTTGTTTTCCTTTAAATTACCTTTAAGGACTTTTATTTTTCAGAATCTTAGTGTACATTTTCAAGCAGGTTGTAGAAAGGCATATAGCTCTATAATTGTTGCAGTCGGATAACTCACCTTTTCTTTAAATCGGTAAAATTATGTTTTCTTCCCATTCTTTTAGTATTGCTTCATTTGCCCAACATTTCCTTAGAATCTTAAGTACATTTCTTGGTCTATTTTGTCACATAAACTCTTTTTTTCTATTTTAATTTTGCTCCAAGGGTGTTTTTGTTTTTTTTTTAATAATTTTCTCACTAAAAGATTGGAAAGCGATATTTTAGATAATAATAATATAATATTGTTTTATTTGGTAATGCCTTTTTGCTGCTTATTCTGCAATTTTATATGGCTGGATCATGGCATACTCGATTATGTTCCTGTTAACTTGATTTAACTGTGTGGCTATGAAAAAACTGGAATTTACATTTAATTACGGAAACGGAAACCCAACTAGGGAAATGATCACCAGACCAACTATATTTATAGATTATTTTCTGATAGGAATCTCAATCTTTATTTTAATGTTCTTAAATAACAAGAACATTTCAAAGTGTGATTTAAAATGATGAAGCGGAACTTCATAAAAAAAAATATTTAAAAAAATACATACATCCCATCCCATTTGGTTAAGCATATTGAGACCCCCTAGCGACCTTTGTTTTAATTACTTGACAGACTACTTTTCTTTTTAAAGAACTTATCATAGCTGGTGCACAGTCTTTTAAAGTGTAAATATTTTCTCTTGATAAGTTGCGGTCTCACGTGACAAAAGAGGAAAATTTTGTTTGAAAAAAATAAAATAAAATAAACACCCTGTAACCCGTAGTTAGGATAACTTTAATGAAAATTCCACACCTGTAATTTTTAACCAATCAAAACGTGTATTTTTGATAGATCACCATGGCAACGGTTGAATTTTAGTGGAAATTTTTTCCTCGTGGGTACCCAACAGCGAATTATACTGGAAATTTTTTGACGTTTATAATGACAAAATATTTTTTTGACAATCTGGTTTTTATTTGTTTACATGATAATTTTGATAAATTTCCATTACAAAGTTTAGATGTTTTCTATATTCGTTGGACACCTCCTTTCTTCTTAATGGCGAAAATGCAGGACTTGAAATAAATTAAATGTCTATGTCTAATGAAATATATATAATATTTAGACACTATTCTATTCACCTTTTTTTCCATTTAGCACTTTGAGTTTTGAATAGTTAAGATGCAAATATTCGTGAACAATTCAAAACAAATTTTCTTTCTTCAAGTAGGAGCCACAATCCCCTAATAATGCGGGTAAATAAGTCATTGCACGATGATTGATCATTACAGCAGACAATTTCACAATTTTTTACGTCGTGCCGCTTGACAGCTTCAAAACTGAAATAACTTTTAGGTTGGGGTTGACTTAGTTGCCATGGTAACTAAATAATCAAGTCGAGGTCAAGTTAAATCAAAAAATAAATTTTAATTATTTAAACACAATTTGGTGTGGAATTTTGTTACCGAATACCACACGAGGTCAAATTAAATCCGGAAATTTTTTCTCCCTCATGAATATTTTTAGAAAATTATCCCTCGTCTTCGACTCGGGATAATTTTCAAAATATTCATGAGCTCGAAAAAATTTCCGGAAATAATTTGACCTCTACTGCCGTGCTTAATGAAAACGCCGTAACCAACAATTTTGCGATTTTTGGTTTACGGCATCTTCTACTAGAACAATTCATCCTGCGTCTATCCCCGGTACTCAAAAAACCGTATAAATATAGATACAGTTTTTTGAGTACCGGGGATAGACGCTGGATGAATTTTTCTAGTAGAAAATTCCGTAAACCAAAAATCGCAAAATTGTTGGTTACGGCGTTTTCATTAAGCACGGCAGTCTAGTGGTATTACTAGTGAAAAAATACTATTATTTTCTACAGAATCCACAATTTAATTTTTTGACTTAGTTCTTCTTATACCATGTATACATATAAAGGTTATTTTAAGCTTGCGAAAACGAAGAGACCGATTTATTTTCCTGCGAATTATTCGAAAAAGACAGTGTCCTCTATATTTCCAATCTTACTACGTTTTGGGGAAGAAGGGATAATACCACTTGTGCTCCCATAGAAAATGATAAGGATGTTAAAGCAAATAATTGGAATTGCCATTTAGATATTGTGGATTTATTGAGGAAAAAGTATAATAAATAAACTTCATTTCGAAATAAAAAAAAGCAATTTTTTAGATGCGATGGAAAAACACGTTGCAAATTTCAGTCATCAAATGAGTTTTTTGGGGGTGATCCTTGTCCCGGGGATCGTAAGTATTCCGTCGTCTCTTACGAATGTAGAAAACCTGCGGAACCAACCCCGCCAACTGCCACAGAACCTGAAGAACCAACCCCGCCAACTGCCACAGAACCTGAAGAACCTACCCCGCCAACTCCCACAGAACCTGCGGAAGAGGTGGTTCAAGGACCCACAGTGTGCTACACAAATTATATACGCATAGATTGCGGCCAAAAGAAAATTAAGACCAACAAAGTTTTCTTTGGCAGAGGCGATAGCTCCACGTGCAAATATTTTAGTAGTAACTTTAATAACCTTAAATGCGATGCGAGTGATGTGGCATACAAGGATATCCAACAAAAGTAAGTAATACATACACAGGGGAAAAAATTATACTTTTGGGTTAAAATGTTTTAAAATCTGAGGTGATAAAGCAATTTATATTCGTATTTGCATGTAGCCCATGCATCAACAACTTTTAACCAAGTTAAGACATAAACTTCCCAGCTAAGTTGTTTGAAATATTTTTTTTCGACATATACAGTGTGAATCGGAAGGATCGCAGCGAACTCGAGGACTGCATTCTACACATCAAAATAATACAAAAAAACTCAAATGTTGCGAAATTATTAAAAATAAATTATTAGTTCTTTGAAAAAATATGGATACAAAGTTTGTTTCCATATATGGAAACAAACTTTGTATCCATAGCTATAGCTATACAAATGGTTTACATTTGTCTGTTTGTAACTGTCAGGGTCAGTGGTATTTTTGTAATTTTCTAGTGTAAATTTTTTTGAGCATTTTTAATAATAATAATAATAATAATAATTTATAACTCAACGGGGGTATTTTTAAACACCTAAAAAGTCATAACTATTAAACAAATGTCACCGCTTCATTTTATTCTTTTTTAAATTACGCTATAACTTTAAAACAACTAAGAATCAAATAAGAACATTAGAGTTTTTTATTATTTTTATGTGTAGAATGCAGTCCTCCAGGATCCTTCCGATTTACCCCACATAATAAAAATGGTTGCATATTTGTATATTTAATATTTTAGGTAAGAATTATTTTGAACAGTTCGTGGTTGTACGTTGTTTACTGTTTTTAGAACCCAATAAACAAAAAAGAACGAAGATAAAAAATTATCATATTTTCAATTGAATTTTATTGATATCAGTGCTAAAATAGAATATTACTAGAATAATTTTTTTATTTCTTAAAAAAATATTTTCTTCAATATCTTTAATTTTCTTTATATTACGTATTATAACTAGTAAATTAAGAGTTATTCCAAAACAACAACAAACAGAACGTAATACAAAACAAAAATTGAAATAATAATAATTTTTTTTTAATATTGCGCATTTAATCCATTATGACATACTTACAGAAAACATTTAATATAAAGTATCCCAAATGTAAATAAGTAGCGCTGAATAGAAGGAAAAAATAAAAATCGAATATTACAGTCGATAAAGTTGCTATGTAATTTTGTTTATGATGAGTTTGGAGAAAAAATGCATAGGGACAATTTTGTAGAGAACTAAATTTCCTCTAAGGTAGTAAGAAACAAAATTAAAAAAAATTATTCATGTAGTTATTCTAAATCAAAAAAAATTCCCATCTATTTTAAATGCGCCAGCTCAATCTTGGGGATATTGAGCTCAAACTTTGGGAGAATTTTTTTTCAAAAAACTTTTAGATATATTTAATCGAAAAAAAGTTATTTTGACACAGTCTGATATATATGTATATATACGAGTATATATATGTTCTGCTTTAGGGCGTTTATTAATGGTTTTCCGGGATCTGCTCCGTCTTGTCGGTTTTTGGTTCTTAAAAGAACTGTATCGTATGTCTGTCGACGTTTCGGTACAATCACATGTACCATCCTCAGGTCTTATCTGCTGGGCTGCTGTTGCTGCTGCACGTCTAACTCGCAGCAGAGCAGCAACAGCAGCCCAGCAGATAAGACCTGAGGATGGTACATGAGATTGTACCGAAACGTCGTCAGACATACGATACGGTTCCTTTAAGAACCAAAAACCGACAACACGGAGCAGATCCCGGAAAACCATTAATATATATATATATATACATCACACTATCATCGAGGCGTCTTTTCATTTCGACTACTTATGAGCGTCCTAGCGTATATTTTTCATCGTACTATTTTCTTAGCGTCCGTTCATTATAGCTCTTCTTAGCGTCCATGATATTCAAATAATTTTATTTTCCAACTTCTCGGCGTCCTGGCGGTGTTGCCAAGTAAAATAAATTAAATAAACGCAGTAAGCAAAGGCAATTTATGTTAATTAGGTGATTATTAGTAACTCCGTTATTATTTGAACTACAAAGTCGGTTAAATTAGCAAATTGGCATTTTTTCGACTGATTTAATTGGTGAAAACAGAAAAACAATTGAATATGGGTTTACCGAAATATTTACAAAAATAACAATTTTTTTAATGGGACAGGGTGCATATTTTTAAATATTTTAAATGACAATTTAAACTTAAAAATAAACAATTAATAAAAACTTAAACTTTCCCCTGGTTGTTGAAATAACTAAATTATTAATTTATTATTTATATACTTCAATAAGTAGATAATTAATTGATTTTCAAAAATAATTTAATAAAATCTGACATCTGTCAAATTATTAACCTCACTTTTTACCAATTTTAAATGTTATTATAATAATAATTTAAAACCCGATTGGTTTAAATATTGAAATGACCCGGTCAACATTTAACGTAACAGTAATGCCGTTATGCAACATAGGAGTAACACTGCAATGTAACGATGTTACTAAAATGCAACGCAACAGTTACCTAAAATAATGGTAACATTGTTACCGTCCCAAGTTAACCAATATGCAATATAACAATAACGTAACATTGCGATACTATTGTAATCTAACAAAATTACCAATAAGCAATTTAACAACAATGTAACATTGTGAAACTATTGTAATGTAACAAAATTACCTATAAGCAATATAACAGCAACGTAACATTGTGAAACTATTGTAATATAACAAAATTACCAATATGCAATATAACAGCAACGTAACATTGTGAAACTATTGTAATATAACAAAATTACCAATATGCAATATAACAGTAACGTAACATTGCAATAATATTGTAATAAGTTTGTTACGTAACAGTTACATCTCGCTCGTGTTACCACCTTGATTAGGTATATAAACGAAGTTAAGACAGCGCACCATGCCCATTTGTCATTGGACCTCAAACAGTCTGCCTGATTTTGGGAAAGTCAGAATACGATATTATGTATCATTTGATACGCTTTAGCGTTCAACTAAAGGAACTTTCTTATGTCGAGCATAATAACGTTGCAACGTAACAATGCTACATAACCGTAAAGGCTATCTTATGTTACATAAGTTCGATTGCGAAAATGTAACGGCAACGTAACATTGTTACCTATTTGCAACCATCAGGTTATGTAACTGTAATGTTACCCATTACAATCGTTACATAACATTTTGGTTAATGTTACGTAACAGTTATGTATCATTTTCATAACGGAAACGGCAATTGTTATGTAACAATGTTACTCCTATCAGTGGAAAATAGGAACCTATTTGCAATCATCAGGTTATGTAACTGTAATGGTACACATTACAATCGTTACATAACATGTTGGTTAATGTTACGTAACAGGTATGTTTCATTTTCATAACTGCAATGTAACATTGTTATGTAACAATGTTACTCCTATGAGTGGGAAATAGGAACCTATTTGCAACCAGCAGGTTATGTAACTGTAATGTTACACATTACAATCGTTACATAACATTTTGGTTAATGTTACGTAACAGTTATGTATCATTTTCATAAAGGCAACGGCAATTGTTATGTAACAATGTTACTCCTATCAGTGGGAAATAAGAACCTATTTGCAATCATCAGGTTATGTAACTGTAATGTTACACATTACAATCGTTACATAACATTTTGGTTAATGTTACGTAACAGTTATGTAACATTTTCATAACGGCAATGTAACATTGTTATGTAACAATGTTACTCCTATGAGTGGGAAATAGGAACCTATTTGCAACCATCAGGTTATGTAACTGTAACGTTACACATCACAATTGTTACATAACATTTTGGTTACTGTTACGTTACAATGTTGACCGGGGAGTTCATTATTTCCGTTGTTAGGCAGAGAATTTATATCATTATTCACAAAAAAAAAACAATATTATTATTATTATTATGCAATATTATTATTATTATTATGCAATAGTATTATTATACATCCTGTCCCAAAATATAAAAATCTGTTAACACCCAATAATTGATATCAGCATGGTATAAAAACATTTTATACAGAATTCTGTATAAGATGTTTTAAACCATCAATTATTGGGTTAACGTTAACGGTAAAGTTACGTACGTACTGTAACGTTACAGTATCAAACGTTATGTTTCAATTTTATAACAGCAATGTAACATTGTAATCCATTAAAAAGTTACATAACAACATAAAAATAATAATACATTTATGTAACGATAACGTGACATTGTTATGTAACAATGTTACTTCAAAAAGAGGGAAATAGGAACCTATTTGCAACCATCAGGTTTTGTAGGTAACTGTAATGTTACATATCACGATTGTTGCATAACATTTTGGTTAATGTTACGTTACAGTGTCGAACGTTATGTTTTTTCTTTTATAACGGGTACATTGTAATCCATTAAAGTTACATAACAACAACATTAAAATTATAATGCATTTATGTAACGACAACGTAACATTGTTATGTAATTCTAAACTAAAGTTAGAGTCATGTAATATTTTATCAAAATTTGCAATGGTTTAGTACTGTTTTGGGATATCCAAAAAATAAATTACCCACTGGGAATACAATTTAATGCCCCTAAAAGCCAAATGGTACAAAAGTACATTTTGTTTAGTTTTGAGATAGTCATGTTTAAAGTTAAAAAAAAATTTAATTTGGGGTCAAAATTGTTTCATAAGTTTGGTTAATAACTACTACGTTGACGAGCTGTGACTTTATGGCGTTTTAGTCTCGGGCTAAAGTTAGCAATATTGGCTTTTGGGTATTTTAGTCACGGGCTGAAGTTAGCTTTATTATAAATAAGGGAAAAGTAAGGTTACAAATGTAAATGTTTAACAAATAAAATTGGCTTTAAATTCTTCTTTGTGTACGTCGTAGATAAAGTGTAGTATGCAACTCGTTTTATAAACTTCTCTAGACACTCGTTTTTATTAAACACTCGCTCGCAAGCTTTGCTCGTGCAAACCTTGAAACTAAAATGACGTTTATAAAACTTAATACATAATATACTATTTTTAAGCTTTACAAAATTAGAATTTAGTTATATTCCTTGACTACCAAGTAAAATGTACCTTTTACTATGTATTCCTGTACTTAACTCCATTTTTTAAATGTCACTTGTATACCTAGGCTATAGGGTCCTTATATAATAGTTAAAAGTCAAACTTGACTTGTATACAAATAAATCCGTAAAATGTTTATAAATATTAAGTAGTATACTACTATAGTATACTACTATTATTATTATAATAATAGTTATGTATTTATATTTAATAAACCAAAGTCCGACACTGGACGCTCAGAAAGCGGAAAAGTTGAAATAAATATACAGAAAGGACGCCCACAAATCTTTGGCGTAAAATTTTATTGAATTAAATATTCATTAAAAACACGAATTTGAAAATTTTACTTAAAATACAACAGAATCGTATTATAATTGCCATGTTGCAAAATTTCCTTGGCTAAAGGACGCTCTGAAATCGGAGGAATGTAAAAGATTTTATACTAAGGACGCTTACCAATCTTTAAGATGTAATTTAATGAAATTAAATATACACAACGTATATTTTACATTGGCGACAGTCACTCCCCTTGTGGAAGAGTCGTGAACTAAAAATATACGAAAGTATATCAAAAATTTAATTTTCGAGTTCTGGGCGTCTTCTGCCAAAGGTCGTAGAAAAGTGAATTAGACCACCTGGCAAAATCTTAAGGGATGTACAACCGGGCGTCCGGTATACGGACGCTTGGTCCCAGTGGACGCCCAGAGAATAGATATTAGGAAATGTACGGACGCTCTGTCATAAGCTGGATGCATATATATATATATATATATATATATATATATATATATATATATATATATATTACTTGTCACTTAATTAAGATAACGTTATAAAAAAGGTAATAAATTATAATTTTATTTAAATAAAATTGATAAAGGAAAAAAAATAATTGCAAAATCATGTATCATTACATTAGTACTTGTACAAGTTAATTGTGTCAATTTTGCATTTATTAAGTTGGCTACAATATACACCAGTCGTTTAAATTATCAAATACAATAAATATCCAGAAAACATTATACTATGTTGCGAACATTCTTAGGGACATGTGATATCAACAGTACATTACGCAATATACACAATTTTACATTGTGGTACATTGTTGGTATGTGTTTGTGCTAGCTGGGTTTTGATCCGTTTAAATCTGTGAAATGGATGATGGATTAAAATTCAGCAAGTAAAAATATGTAAAAACTCTTTTCTAAAAATCAAAAAGAGCTCTTTTTGGTTCCAAAAGTAGACTGAGATTTGGAAACCTGTATAACCATTTTAACTTAATAGATGAATTATTTAAGACATGGCATTTCATCAACTCTCAAAAAAGTGTTTATGAAATGCCAAGCCAAGCCTTTAGGCTTTTAGGTTCAAAATTATATAATAAATACAATTTTAGATGCGATGGACAAAATCACTGCTATATATGGAATATTTTGGGTTTTGGTGGTGTCAGTTTCAATGCAAATTTAAATGGAAGTGGCCTTGTTAGTGGCAATGCGATTGTAAGAGGCAATGTAAATGCTCAAATAAGTTGCACCCCCGCCCATTTACCTTATTTAAAAATAAGTCATCAGTGTGTTAATTAATGTTTTTTTTTGTTTTATTTAAGTAAAAATGCTGTTTTACTTATACCAAAAGATAAAATAAAATCCAACAATATTAAATAGTTTTTCTATTTCTTAACCATAATAAGCACTGTAATATGGAGACAGATGGAAAATCACTCCTATAGTTTTGTTCAACTAGAGTAAATCAATTCATTTTATTAGTTTAATTATTTGTTAGATTTTCTTTTATTTAAATTTCTTAATCTAGAGTTCTAGTCTGTTTTGTAAACTAGTTTTCTTTGATTAAATCCCTGGATTAACTTTAATTACCTATTTTTAATTTAACTTTCCTTGTTTTTATAATTCACTAAATTCCTTAATTATTGATAGCCCCAATAACATACCTTAAAGGTAACAAGGGGTTGCCTAGTAATTGAATCCACTATTTTTCTATCTGGTTCAACCAGACTGGTTCTTAACCATTCTAACTCAGTTTGATGTAATTGCATTTACTTCATTTCTGTGGGTAAAAGGCATAAGGGGATAAGTCAAAAAGATCAATTTTTCAGTAGAGCTTAAAACGTATTCGCATTAATTCAGGAAATATATTTATGGTTAGCGGGTATACCCTTTTGTTAGCACATGTCATATGCTAACAAAAGCGTATACCCGCTAAACATAAATATATTTCCTGAATTAATTCGAACACGTTAAAGGCTCTATTGAAAAATTGCTTTTTTTGACTTATCCCCTTATGCCTTTTACCCACAGATTTAAGCCATGCTTATGAGTTTTATCAATCTTAATTTACTTTACATTGGCTGATCGAGACTTAGATTTAAACTTGTTTGCCACATAAGTATGAGTATGAGTATAAGTATAAGAGACGTATAACTGGCCGCATTGCCTCATCGCTCCCGGGTCGAATTTTTCCGTCTCCTATAGGGCTAGCGCAACCGTGTGCGCTAATCGTGTAGGATACGGAAGCGAGACCTGCATCTCCGTTCCCTAAGTGGTTAACGCACCGCATACGAATAAGCACTCTGCAATGAGCTTTCTAGGTGATTTTTCTTTGTATGTACATATAAAATAATAATAATAATAACCAAACAAACAGATTGACGTATGTCTTCAAGGCGCGAATCATTGTATGCACGTTATATATATAGCGCGATAATACACTATAGGCTAAATGTAGCAAAGTATTCCTCAAGGTTATGACGAATAGCTGTCATCTTGGTTATGCAGGTACACTACATTATGCCATACCAAACCAACCCAAACTTAACAACCCAACCCAACCGACCCCGCCCCATTGAGCAATAGAGGTATAATATATCTAAGGGCAGGCTGGATTGTGACAATGGGGCGGGAGGGGCCCAATGGGGCGGGGTCGGTTGGGTTGGGTTGTTAAGTTTGGGTTAGTTTGGTATGGCACAATGCAGTGTACCTGCATAACCAAAATGACAGCTAATCGTCATAACCTTGAGGAATACTTTGCTACATTTAGCCTCTAGTGGTAATACCTAATTACAGGCGGTGCGTTAACCACTTAGGGAACGGAGATACAGGTCTCGCTTCCGTATCCTACACGATTAGCGCACTCGGTTGCGCTAGCCCTATAGGAGACGAAAAAATGCTCCCGGGTCCCGCACAGGCCTCTGTTTCCTTACGCCGATTTTCTTTCGCCACCAGCACGGCTTAATCCGTGTTTGCTGGGTGCGAATGTCGATTGCGACACGTATTTAGGGCTCGAGAGCGAAATTCCAATAGTTTTAATAGCCATTCCCGGGTTCGCCAGGCCGATGCTATACGCCCAGAAGGGTCCTGAAGGAGGTAGGACAGAAAGGATAGACATTTTGGTGTTTGGGGGACAATTACGCCGACTCAAATCTAAGTACGACGCGGTATCCCCCTAGACCAGGCAGTTAGTATTACTCCAAACATTTGGGATTACTGTATGGAGTTCTGGAGTTGTTTTTTGCTGCAGGGGCCTAGGTCTTGGTCTGCGTTTTGGTCGTGTCCGTGTCCAAGTAGTTCTTTTATGTTTATTACCGCAGTAGTGCGACTAACGTGCTTACGTTAGTCATCTTCGCTGAGTTTGGATTTTAAGTGTCTGTTTGTTTTGCTCTCGTTTTGTTTAAAGTTTAATTTTGTTGGGGCCGTTCTCTTAAATTACTGAGTTTATTGCCTTACAGATGTGTTCACACTGTGTTGATGACAGATTTATTGTCCTACTCAGCTTTCGTGTAAATTACCGTAGGATAGGGCGGTTTTGATTTTTTTGTTATGTCTTTATTTTGGTGTTTGCTTTGTTTTTTTCTAGAGTTTAAGCAAAGTGCCTAATTTAAGTTTTAAGGTAACTGTCGTGCCCAATGTTGTAAATTATGTGTTAGGTCATGCAGATGTTTAAGGTTACTTATCCGATTTTGGAGATGGACCTTTCCTCTCTTGGTTGTCGTCTTTTGTTTGTCTTGTGAAAATCGTCCAATTGACAGGTGGTAAGACCACCCTGTATCTGAAGCTTATCACTTCACACTTTCTTGAGCGTACGGTAGGCACTTTAGTAATTATTTGTGGGTTTTAAGCTTTTATGTTTTAAGAGGTCGCTATGAGAGACGTCTTGCTGTTTCGAGAGTTGGTACGTGGTATCCTTTAGACCAAAATTCTCTTTTAGTGCATTTGTCCAAATTATCTTCAAAATAACCCAATAAATTTGTTTTGACGTTATATTTCAAGTACCCTTTTCAAAATTACTTATTTCGCACATGTTGAGGATTTATAAACCTTTATAAGAAACTTCTAACTGCGGCTTTTTCTACGAATTATTCCAACCATTTTTTCCAACTTTCTCCTTATTACAGCACAATACTCAAAAATAATTTATAATTCAAATTTGTCTTAAAATTTTGCCAAATAGAAAAAACAGTATACAAAACTCATGCCACTCAAGTCATTTTCTCGCACTCGTTGATTTCAATTCAAGTAAGCACTAGTTGTTATAATGGGGGATCATTCGCGTCTGTATTCACCTTGAAAATGGTCTAAGACCAATATTTTCTATTTAAAATGAGACCCAAAAACAAGGGGTCTGATCAAAACCAAGCATGTCCAGGCGTGCTGGTCCAGTCAGAGGCAAACATGTCTAACCAAGTAATCATAGCTCGTCATCTAGTCACGTGTCATCGAGATGGCACACTCAAAACAGTTACTGTCAAATGTTACGATTTTTGTTTTTGTAGAAAAGTTTTTGTTAAAATTAGTTTCTAAAGGATTTTAGTGTGTAAAACAAGTATATTTACATGGGAAACTTACTTTTTATCAAAATTTCCAGGAAAGACGAAGTTATACCGATTTTTGGTTTTGACAGGTTTTCAGTTTTTTTTTCAAACTATTTGATTTTTTCCAATTTTTGAATGCTATTTTAATAATGACCAACTTTAAATAACCTTGTAGCTCTTCAAATAAAAATAATAATCATACAGATAAATACATGGTATATCCTATTAATATATATATATATTTTTAATAATGAGGTCATTAATATTTTGATAGTATATAAAGTGGGAAAAAGTAAAAAAAAATAATTTGTATTTTTAAATGACTAATAAATATTTTATAAAAGGCATGACAATTACTGTTTTAGAAAATATTTTCGATTTGCTTAAATGTATGAATAGCACTATTATTTAAAATTTATATATATATTTACTGTATACTATAGTGTACATTATAATGCGTGTTTAACATTTTTTGTTCTTCTTGTTGTGGTATGTAAACATAAAAACTATCTACTTGTAATAAAAAATATACTAATTTTAGGGTCTGGATTTCACGTCTAAACAAGTAAGTTTTTTTTTTTACTAAATAATATGGTTTCAATTGGGAAAAAATGAAACGGGAAATTCCTTATTAAAAATAATTGTGCTTTTTATTTTATATATAAATATAAATATAATATATTATGTATCAAGTTTTATAAATTGTTCACCCCTAGGAATTAAAAAAAATGGTCCGCAAAAATAATTATACAATTATTGAGGGAACGCGAAAGTTTGCTGCTGGTCATGAAATAAGGTTACTAGAATTTTAAAGTTAAAAATTGATAGGCAGTAGCATAATAAACAAGAAAGCTTAAGTGAAAAAAATTCAGTTTAATGGTTTTTTGGGAAACTTAATTGCCTCGCACAAAATCTACTGACATGTATGCTCAGCGCTAATATGTGCGTTCTTCGCTTGGTCTATACTTAATGTTCTAATATTAATTTATATATTATGCCATTTTTACCGACATTAAATAAATTTTATGTATTTAACTTTAAGGGCGCATTGCAGACACCAATAACCTCAATTTGCATATTCAAAAATAAACACAATGGAAAACCTTATCTTAAGCGATGATAGAATTAATGAAGTGGTTGAATAAAAAATTTGCCCCTGAAATTTCATCGCACAAACTTGATAGTTTATGGTGAATTTTGTAGGTCAGATTACTTATTTAATTGTTTCGACCTTTACTTGATGAAACTCCATATTATTATTATTATGTAGATATAAAAACAACTACGTTTTTTGAAAGTTTCACGTGATTTATTTAATTTTTGACAATTGTTTCGTCACACAGTGACTTCTTCAGAAGTCTGATCTTATATGGAAGATAATATACAAAACCTTAAAAGTAACGATTTTCGAAAAACTATTCATCAACTTAAAGTTAATCATTCAGTTATTTAAGAACAAGAATAAAGAAGAATAAAGAAGCGTATTGGCAGTTACCGAATTAATAAAGGCGAAGATCAGTATTTGACTGAAAGTGAATTTGAGTTCCCATTAATAATGACTTGGTTGATCTTAAATTAATTTAAAAATGTGAAGTACATTTAATTTAGTGCTTTAAAGAAAATAAATAATAGAAAAAAGTACAAAAATATTGTTTTTAATAATGGTAAAATGTTTACAAATACAAAATAAAATTAAGCATATATTATTAAGTTTTTTAAAAATACATGTTTTAAATAAAAACAATTTACATTTTAATACTTTCATCTACATTTATAAATCCTATTTTAACAATATAATAACAAAAAACATAAGTATACTTATATCTATAGATATAAAAATAACACTTTTTGTTATGTCTGTTTTAGGCAATCAATATTTACCCGAGTATAAAAAAAATTGGTCACTGTTTTATTTTATTGTTTTGCTTTATTGCTATCAAGAATTTCATTAGATGCATGTTCTTTCACTTTGTTCGAATTTTGTTCATATGCATCCAGCGCAACTTTTCTTAATTTGTCCTCCGAATTTTTACCGGTTTGTTCCAACATTTTCGTGAAATATCCCTCGGGATTTTGCAGCAAAATATGTGGATGATCAAATTCAACGCATTGTCCAGCGTCCATTACAAGAACCTTGTCTGAATCCATTATGGTATTCAATCTGTGCGCTATCGTTATCACTGTGCAGTTTTTGAAATTTTTGCGGATAGTTTGTTGGATTAAAGCGTCGGTACTAAAAGATTTAAAAACTATAGGAAAAAAACTTGGACTGAAGATTTTAATACTTACTGTGGATCCACATTGGCAGTAGCTTCATCCATTACCAAGATTTTGTTATTTCTAACAATAGCTCTTGCTAAACATACTAACTGTCTTTGTCCAGCACTAAAATTTGACCCTCCTTCACTGACTTCTTGTGTAAGGGCTTCTACAGAGTCCTTTAACTCAACCTAAAAAAAATTAATAACAACTTGTTTTAGAGATTTTTATTTTTTTACATCTTCAAGTGCTTTCCATAATGTTTTGTCCGAACATTTGTCAAATGGATCCAAGTTGTATCTGACCGTGGCAGAAAATAACACAGGTTCTTGGGGAATGATGGAAATATTTTTTCTCAAGTCTTCCAAACCTATGGATTCTGTATCTATGTTGTCTATTTCTATTAAACCTTCTATTTTGGCAAGTCTAAATATTGAGGCGATAAGTGTTGATTTTCCAGCGCCAGTTCTACCAACTATACCAACCTAAAAATATTTCAAGTTACGATTATTTTTGTTCTTAAAACTTTTTTATTGATACTGTAATTCCAGAGACGATTTTATAATCGTATAAACACAGGTCTGCAATCTTGTACCAACTCAAATTTTGCATACCTGTGTAATTTACCAATAATTAACATAAAATATTCTTTAAAATTTGTATTAATTTTACCTTTTCTCCTGGCTTTATTTCAATATTAAGATTCTTTAGCACAGGAGGATCTTCAGGAACATATTTCAAGTAGGTATTCTTAAACTTGATTTCTCCAGCACTGGGCCAACCTTGTGGTGGTTTTTTCGTGGGTAAACTCTCGAATGGACCTTCCTTATCCAACTTGGTGTACTGTAGAATCCTCTCAACGCTCGTCATATTACCAGCGACCTCTGCAGTTTGCCGAACGCCGAATTGCAACATACCCATCAAAATCAAACTTTGAGTTATTACCAAACCGACGTCGCCTTTAAGGGTGCTCCCATCGTCGAATATTAAAAATTGATAAGTCACAATCGCCAAAAACATCGTGCTTATCATGTCCAAGTAGAAACCAAAAGTTTCCGAGTTCGCTAGGTATAAGAACCACGTGCCCGTGTTTTGATCTTGCAACGTATCAAATTCTTTAACGATCATTCTTTGTGCTTTTGACGATCTTATGGTGGACATACCGTACAGTGTTGCCGATACGTGTGAATACATAGGTGCCCTCGCTACAAATACCGAAACATTAATAATAATAATTCTTAATATAATACACACTTACATAGCCCCTCCAGTCTCATTACGTCTTGTGCGGTGGCTAGGTAAACAGTTCTTGCATAGTAAAATAGGATTCCCAGGAAAATGGTTGGCAACATCATCCACGGGGTTACTATGAAGACCATGCATATAATACCGAACATTACGAAAAATACTTGTAGGGCGTCTAGGGTTGCCCTGGGTAATAATTCGTCGACTACGCCCATATCTTTGGAGAATCTTGTAAGAATTCTTCCTAAAAGAAAAATTATTTTTTACACTTCTTCTGGCGCGTTGAGAGTAAAAGAAGATAGTTCTATTTATTTACCTGAAGGATTAGTATCGAAAAACCTCATAGGAGCTTGAAGAATGTTCATAAACATCTTATTGTGTAAATTTCGAGAAGCATTCATGCAAATTTTGAAAAATAACATTGATCTGGCGTTAGTCAATATAATCGCCGCTATAATAAAGAATGTGTAAACGTATATATAAATATTTCTTTTTTGAATATAATCTTCATTTTCGTTCCAAAGTTTTGGAATATCAGTAGAACTGGTCATATTGCTTATTAAATTAGTAACATTTAATTGTGTGCTATTTATAGAACTTGTAGTATCATTGCTAGAATCGATGCCTTCTTCATTATTAGTCCTAAATATAAACAAAATTATTAATATGTAAATTTATTTTTACGAATATTATTTACCAAAATCTTAGCCATATATCTCCCGCGTTATTGCTAGCCTGCGCTATAGCGAATAAAAATACAAAAAACATTATAACAAATACGTTTCCGCCAGCTTTGCAATATTCTGTGTATACTTGTGAGGATAAAGCACCTTTAGCCATGAGTTCTTCAGTCTCTTCGGGTTCCCTTTCTTCTTCTATGGTGCTCTAAAAGTAGTAGTTTAAAAAACTGCATTTCATAAGCCTTTTTTAAAAGTTAAAGGTAACAATCTTTTTTGTGAAAAATAATGTTTTTCCTAATTTAGTGTAAAAAAATTATATTCTTACAGCATATGAAGTAACAGACATACTCCTATCCCTCTTAACTATTTCCATTGTTTCCTCTTTAATATTTTCGTTGTTTTGCTCCTGATTTTGTTCAGCCACAATATGCTTTAACTCGCTTAAAGAAAGCTGCGAATAAGTACCAACTTTTTCGACTTGGCCCTAAAAGAATATTTATAAAATCTGGCAAATTATACCGTAAATAATCTTACATTGTTCAATACAACAATAAGGTCGGCATCCTTGAGGAATTGCAGTTGATGGGTAACCAAAATTCTCGTTTTGTTGTTTAAGTACTTCTTTATGCACTCCTCGAATAAATGTTTACCCACGTGGGTGTCGACGGCTGATAACGGGTCGTCGAATAAATAAATATCCGATTTTCTGTATACGGCCCTGGCTAGGTTGATTCTCGCCCTCTGACCCCCAGATAGAGAGACTCCCCTTTCTCCCACCAAAGTTTTATCTCCAAAGGGAAAAAGTTCAAAGTCCCTTTCCAGTGCGCATGCTTTGACCACCTGTTTGTACCTGTTTTTGACGTAAGGTTGGCCAAAGAGAATATTGTTGCGCACGTTTGAGACAAACAACCACGGCTCTTGCGAGGCGTAGGTGATATCGCCCTGTACATCGAGTTTGCCGCTCGAATAGGGGAGTTCTTTTAGCAGCAATTGCAGAAGAGAGCTTTTACCGGTTCCTACATTACCGGTCACACAGCATAAGGTACCTGGCGGAATGTTCAAGTCTATGTTTCGTAGAGTGTCGACTATCGGGTTTGGTATCCAACTAGCGTTTATTTTGGTTAGCTTTATTAAACCCGGTTGTGCTGGTATTTCTTTGTCTTTGAGTTCTTCCATTGTTTCATCAAGGGTCAAAAATTCCTCAAGTCTTTTAACGGAAACCTTTGCTTCAGCCAGAGAGGACACTGCCATGGGGTAATTTATGCACATGTAAAACTGTACAGTGTTAAATAGTTGCGCCATGGAGAAAACAACCTCACCTGTAAGTAGAGGTTTTAAGTAAAAAAACATCCGTTTTTTGTACTTTTCAATTTTTTTTAAACTTAGTTTTGCCATTGGAACCTTACTTTCAATGAAGCAAAAAATTTGAATATTGCGATTATTTTAGTCAAAATTTCGTAATTTATTTTACTAAAATTTGCAAATAATTTAATAAATTTAAAATTAGCGAATTTAAACGAAAAAATGACAATTTTTTCTTCAAATTTGAAAAAAACTTTTTTACTCTACCTGTGAGCCTATTTCCCATTAGTACATAGGTAATTAAAGTTAAATAGAGCGCGGTTCTTTCAGTGTACACCGCCAAAGCCCTAGTAAAGCCCAGTATATACGAAGTTTTCGTTATTATATCAATCTCATATTTTCTGGAAGCTTCCACCATTTTTTGAAAAGGTATCTCCCAAGCGTACATTTTAATAACTTGTATCCCCAAAGTAATCTCATTCATCAGCTTCACTCTAAAGTCTGTTTTTTCAGCGACCTTGTACCTCAATTGTCCTTGAAGCTTGGATAAATATCCTTGTATAGGCACAGCCTGTATGGTCATGGTTATTATACCTGCCAAGCATGCAAATCCGACTTGAGAGTACATAATAAATGATGCTATGCAGGCCATGATGGGCATCATCCAAATGTAATGCAACCTGGCTGAAGCTTGATCAAATCTTTGTAAATCGTTAGAGAGTAGATTTACTAAATGGCCAGCAGCTGTTTTACCCAATGACTTTTGGTTCAACCTCAAAAGCTAAAAAAGAAATCATGTACTAACTATATTGCCATCTATGGCCATAGTAATATATTTATATATACCTTTCTGTATACTAGAGAACCACAAGCTACTCTAACTCTAAGTCCAATTCTTTGACAACCCAAATTTGTATAATGTGTTATTAAAATATTTGCAAAAGCCATAGAGGTGATAGCTGTAGCCAAGATCCACCCCAACCTGGTATCTTTATTTGGGCCATCTTGAAAATAATTTATGTACCATGCTATAACTAAGGGCTGCATCATTCTAAAAGTAAACAAACTATTAGTTTGAGATTCATTAACTGAGATTAACTGATTTTAACAAGATTTGTTTGTCATATTCCAACTTGTAATGTTCAGGGAAATTTTATGTAAGACTGAAAATAATAATGCTTACTTTATCACAACACATTGTAGGAACAAAGAAAACCCAAATACAGCATAGGATTTCCAAAATGTATTTTTGATAGCAGAGCTTAGGTGCGGGGTAGTGTTTGATTTTTTTGCTTTTTGGATTTCTGCTAGCCAGTGTCTGAAAATGTGTTTTTGTTAGTATTCATTTTTCCCCATTTTTATGTGCTTACTTTTCAAGTTCGTCCGCTAGAGGGCCTGTCGCGTCTTTGTTGGCGGTGTTGTACATGTCTTTAAGTTGGAGATCATTTTTGTAGCCGTATTTGAAGAATGGAAGTAACCAACTGAAAATATTTTATTAATTACCTACACTATTAATGTTTTAGATTTTTTAATACTAAGTGACCTAAAAATATTAAATACTAAAGGTTATTTGACAAGTAGTTTTTGACGGACTTAAGGTTTATTTATTTTATTTTGTATAAAAAGAATAGACAAAAATTTTATAATGACGTTTTGAAGAATAAATGTTAATTATAATAGTGCTAGGATCATTTAAATTTTAATTTTTTGAGACAAACTGTCAACCATGTTAACGTTAGCTGTCTTCTTAACTACGGTTTTTGAATGCAAACTGTTTTAGGTTATCAGAGACACAGCTTTGACACGTTTTTTTTTTAACTTAAATGTTTAATAACTCCACAAGAAAGATTTTTGAATATGAAAAACTTTTAGAAAATACATAGGTAGGTAAGAAGATTATATTCAGGAGCCCACCTCCTGGACTATGATTGATGTTTCCATTGTTGTGATATCTATTTAACCATGTAATAGGGAGAAAGTTAGAAAAGACGGTTAAAATAATTCTTGGAAATAGGTTTCTTAGAAAGGTTTAGAAATCCTCAACATGTGCGAAATAAGTTAATTTTGAAAAGGGTACTTAAAATATAACTTCAAAAACAAATTTATTGGGTTTTTGTAAAGTTGATCCGGGTATTTAATCAACAAAAAATACTATAACTCTGAATTAAGAATGTTGACTAAACGTAAACTAAAAGAAAATTTAACAAATAATTAAACTAATAAAATGAATGAAATAAACTATCAGAGTAAATCTAATCTAAACAAAATTGGTTTAAAATACAATAATTACCATAGATACCTTAAACTGAATCAATTGAAGCTGGCAAATAGTGGCTAAAACTGATTTCCGCGGACGTTGGAAAAGCTTGATAAAATCTAGATAAGAACTGGCGATTCAAGGGTCGCGTTGGTTTTTTATATACATTGTTTTGCCAATTATGGTAACTCCCCCCACAAAGGTAATAGAAAATGACTGGTTCAAAGGTCATAAAATCTAATACCAACCTAAAAAGACAATCAATCAATCTACGCGGTCAGATAGTTCTTAAGGAAGAAGGCGTTACCCTTGACTTAACTCGAAAACTTGACTATTCGAAAGGCCTGGAACAAACTTAGCTTGGATTTTACAAGTCATTGGGCGGAGTTTTTGCCATTAATACCAACTTCAAGATATACTTGTATACTATTATTCACAAAATTCGATAATTACACAGCCACACATTTTTTTTTTTTTTTTGATCCGGGGGTCTGACCATATTTCTTTTATGTTTGTGGGGTCGCTGAATCCGAATCCAAGGTCTATTTAACCCCATCACATCAGGATTTTGACATAACCTCAAAAAATCTATAATTTAAGCTATTAAACGCATATAACCCTAAACATTAAGTTGTTGTCTAAAAACCCAAGCTCCTAAACCCTATAAGCCTAAAACTCACTTAACTCCATAACCCCATGACCCACTTAACCCCATCATCTATTTAAACATATAATCCTTAGGATGAAATTGTGATCTGAAAACCCAAGCTATTAAACCCAATAACCATTTTAACCCCATCCCATAAACCACTTAAAGCCATAACCTTGTAATCCATTTAACCCCATCAACATCAATTCCAACAGTTCCGTATCTCATACATTTAGCTTTTGAAGAGACTAAAGTTATGCGGTTATTAAAATAACGTACATATTAAGTTAAATATCTGACAAACGTGGTTGATGTATATTGAGTTATGAGGTTAAATGGGTTATGGGGTTATGGAGTTATGTGAGTTATGAAGTTGTGATATTTAAGAGCTTGGATTTTTATATGAAAACCACATTCTCAGGGTTATATATAGTAATAGCTTATATGATGGGTTTTTTAAGGTTATGGCAAAATCCTGATGTGATGGGGTTAAATAGACCTCGGATTCGGATTCAGCGACCCCAAAAATATATGGAAAATATGGTCAGGCCCCCAGATCAAAACACAATTTTTTTTTTGTGTTTTGATCTGGGGGTCTGACCATATTTCTTTTATGTTTTTGGGGTCGCTGAATCCGAATCCAAGGTCTATTTAATCCCATCACATCAGGATTTTAACAACCTCAAAAAATCTATAATTTAAGCTATTAAACGCATATAACCCTAAATATTAAGTTGTTGTCTAAAAACCCAAGCTCTTAAACAGTATAAGCCTAAAACTCACTTAACCCCATAACCCCATGACCCACTTAACCTCATCATCTATTTAAACATATAATCCTTAGGATGAAATTGTGATCTGAAAACCCAAGCTATTAAACCCAATAACCATTTTAACCCCATCTCATAAACCACTTAATCCCATAACCTTGTAACCCATTTAACCCCATCAACATCAATTCCAACAGTTATAACTGTTATAAATATAATAACTGTTATAAATGTCTGACATACGTATACGTATGTCAGACATTTAGCTTTGAAGAGACTAAAGTTATGCGGTTATTAAAATAACGTACATATTAAGTTAAATATCTGACAAACGTGGTTGATGTACATTGAGTTATGAGAAATGGGTTATGGGGTTATGGAGTTATGTGAGTTTAAGAGCTTGGATTTTTATATTAAAACCTTGGATTTTTATATTAAAACCACATTTTTAGGGTTATATATAGTAATATGGGTTTTTTAAGGTTATAGCAAAATCCTGATGTGATGGGGTTAAATAGACCTCGGATTCGGATTTAGCGACCCCAAAAATATATAGAAAAAATGGTCAGGCCCCCCGATCAGAACACAATTTTTTTTTGTGTGGCTGTGTTATTGATAGCCCCCAAAAAAATGTCTTAAACGTAACAAGGGTTGCCTAATGATTGAATCCACTATTTTTCTATCTGGTTGTTAAACCGTATTAACTCAGTTTGATTTAATTGCGTTTACTTCATTTAAGCATGCTTATGAGTTTTATCAATCTAAACTTACTTTACCCTTTTTTTTTTAATAATTAGCAGCGCTTTCATATTTACAGAACAATACAATATAATCGTATTTCTAATCTATAATCTCTATTTCTAGGTTTAGTTTTAAACTGAATCAATTCGTTATTCTTCCAATTAAATTAATTTTACTATACATTTAACGCTATTCATTTAGATTTAAAATTCTTGGTTTACAGAAAGTGTGGTTGCCATATGGTAGACCTTATACTGACTTTCTTTGCTGGCTTTTGACGATTCGTATACCCTGTTGTAAAATACTAAATTTTCTCACTAAATTTGTTATTGACGGTATTATATTATATTATATCCACAACCTCACAGTTGGCCTCTATAATTCAATTTTAATAATAAAATATCCTATAGAAATAGTAAAAAAACTTACGCTGATATGTATGATTCCTGCAATTTGTGTAATAGAAAAGTAATAGATATAGTAGTAGTATAGTATAAATTAAGTATTAAAAAATGTAAACAAAATTTATAAAAAAAATGCACAATACAAATTAGGAGGTGTATTCCAAAACTCGGCTTATCCATATTAGTTGTTTTTGAG